TTCTCTATCCTTACTACTTCCATCCTTGTGTGAGCTCTCAACCCCTCTTCTCCATACTAATGCATCATCCTCAATGGCTTCCCATCTTTCCAAGTCCCCATCCCCACACTTGTCCACTCACAAGTTTCCGAGCACACTGCTTTCAATGATCTTTCACCTCATAATTCCTCCGTGACTCACAAGTACATATGGGCTAGAAAGAGAACACTGAATTTATCTAGTTCCATCTACTTTCATTCCTAACCTTGCTCTTCACCCACTAATGACACTGACTTACATATAGCTCCAAGAACACACCATGTCCTCATAGTGCCATACAACTGCTCATACTATTATCTCCTCCTGRAAATGCTGTCTGCTGGTTGTCAAGCTGACTACTCCTTCTCAGCTTCCAAGTCTCAACTCAAACACAACCACTACTAAAGCCCCTTCCTTGATATTCCCAACAGAGATCAAGAGTTCATGCTAGGTTTCCTATGCATTTGTAGTACCTCCATTATAGCAAAATAGCACATTGTATTTGAATATAGACACTCATAGTTCCACTACACTACAATCCCCTTAGCTATGGACAGTGACTTTTCATCTTTATATCCTCAGCACTATTTCAATGCATGCAGCATATAATTAAAAAATAAATAAAATAGTGAGGGGAAAGTTAATTAATAAGCTCTAGGCCAACAAAAGGGCAAGAAAGTCAACTGTACCTAGCATATAGAAAAAAGAGAGAGAAAGCGGGAGAGCTAAAGGAAGCACAAACATCTATTATTAAGTCTTATCAAAAAAACAGAAAAATAAGGTTATCCAGGCTTTAACAAGGTTACAAAGAAAAATAGTCATTATTGGACTAAGCAGGAAATAAGAAGCTAAGAGTTTCCAGTGGAACAGCTGGACAAAAATAGAGAGGCTAAGATGGTTCTTTCTGTGAGCCAAGCAATTCACAGAGCTAAGTCCCTGGACTTCTCTCAAAATTCACCAGCTTTCTCCTTCGTCATTATTCTACATATGTCTTTTCCAGATCCCACTACCAAGTCCCAAGGACAACTGCCCTCCATTGAAGCCACAAGTCCTGGCTAGTATGTTAGTTTGGATATAAGGGTGGGCTCAGGAGTGGGGTCTTTGGTCTTGCATCCAGGACCTAGAGGAAAAATGAAACTTTTATTAAGAACCTATTTTGTAGCAGATATTTTACCACTTTTACCATCACTGAATCTCACTTTAATCATGAATAACTATTCCATTTTTCAGAAAAAATATTTGTGTCCAAGGTCACATGGTTAAACAATGACAGGGCCCACCCTAAAATGGAGGAAGGTGAGCCTCCAGAATTTTTTTATGCCCCTCACTATCTCAAAATGGAGATGAATGTGTCCAGCCATTCTAGGTTGGAGCTCAAATTACATTTTTCTCCAAAACTTATTATTATATATACATTAGAGTATACACTTACCATTGTTAACAGAATGGACACTTGATGAATGAAAAATAATAAGTAAAARGTTTAGCGCTCTCACCTGTACATGTAAATGCTATTTGTTATTTCATTCCTATAAGTACATCATTAACATATACACAATAGGCTTGAAATGAACCTTTGGAATACAACTGATTCCCAAGTGAAGCTTTTCTTCTAAGAATATTTTTGCTTCTACAAAAACTGAATGTAAAATCACCAAAGATAGAAATTATTTCACCTTGTTAACTTGTAAGAACAATGACACTAGAAGACACCTGTGGGAAATGTGCTTATCTGACCAGGTGCTCATTTTCAGTATGCTGTCATTTGAATAAAACATCATACTAAACCCTATAGACCAGAGCTTATAATAGATATGCTACAAACTACAGCAGCAGAGCTGATATGCCCATAATCTACTGACAAAATGTACTCCTTAGCAAAATGAAACCAGATGTCTGGTGTGAAATCAGATGTCTGTGGACTTGTCTTTCTCAGCTTCCAGAGCAGTATTAGATACACTAAATACACAGCTTAGCTGTATATTAAACCCACAACTTGGCAAAATCATGACAGTTTGGACATGAAGCGTCAGCATTTTTAYTGTAATTCTTATAAACCAAAGACATTTCTGAAATAGAAATCCTAACTTTAAGCACTCAGCTAAATGCAGTAGTATGTCTTTCTCACTTTGGGAGCAGTGTCAGAGCATTTTAAACACATTATAGAAAGCTTTGCCCTTCATTTTTCAAGCTGACACTTTCTAAGCAGGACTGAAGAATGATCTGATAGGGGGAAATGGAGCCACATCAGTTGACAGTCCTTGTCCCAGATATCTTAGGATCAGATATGGTAGGTGATCTGTGAAAATGCATACTCCCAGGAATGCATAGCACCTATAGGAAAGTAAGTACTAGACTGTCTTCCACTATCAAAAGAAAGATCATAAAAAATGAGGAGTGATTAGACAGAAAAACAGGGAGGAAAAATTAACAGTGAATATCTACATGCCAGGCACTGTTTTTTACACAGTCTTTTTTATTTACTCAGTATATTATTTTGACAAATGATAAATCAAAGAGCAGCTCTGTTTTAACTACTCCATAGTGACACAGTTAATAAAATAAAGGCAAGGATTATAGCCCATATCTAAAAGACTATAGGGGCTGGAGAGGTAACTGAGTAGTAGAGCTCTTGCCTAGCAATGCATAAGGCTCGGTTTGATTCTTCAGCCACAAAAAAATAAAGAAAAAAAGAAAAAAGAAAAAACAGCTTAGGAGCCAAAGCACAAGGATCATAAATTCAAAGCCAGCCTCACCAACTTAGCAAGGTCCTAAGCAACTTARTGAGACCCTGTCTCAAAATAAAAACATTAAAAATGGCTGGGGCTGGGGCTCAGTGGTTAAGCATACCTGGGTGGTTAAGCATACCTGGGTTCAATACCTGGTACCGAAAGAAAAAAAAAAAAAGATTATAAAAGCCATGTTACTTCTACATGAGAATTTGAGGGAAAGCAAGGGATGATAGTAAATAGCCAAAATGGTGGAGGAAAATAAATTTATAATTTCATCAAAAAACAATATATACATGTATATACACATACATCTTATGTTTTATACATGTTCTACATGTATTAACATATAACTAAATTGTATGTATTTAACATATCGTTGTGTGCTAGATATATATAAGGAGCAAAAAGTTGAAGAAATAAATACCAAATTGTTAAAAAAAAAAAGTAGTTATCTTGAGAGTGGGCTTATATGAGACTAACTTCCTGCCTTTCATATTCCTGCAAGATTTAATTCTAAACAACTTGGTTTTAACCTTATAAACTTCTATAACCAAAAAAAGACAAAGGACATTTCTTGTTTCAATAAAATGCAGTTAAATGTACAAAAATCCATGCACATTAACAGTTTACTTCAGTATTTATTTTCCTACCAGCATCATCGTTAATTCTCCATATTTTCTAATATTAGGCCTTCTTATGGAAGAAGTAGTTAACTTCAATTCAAAAAGTTAACCCCAATTAATTATTGTACTCATACAATATATTTATTACATTGGAAAATCACTAAAATACTATTCATTTTAGGACACAAATTATGGTAAGTTATCCTTGAAAGTCTATTACTGACTGGAATAAGACAGAATAATAATACTGTTCTCCCCACAACACTATATAGACTTGCAAATCATTAAGATCCATAGTAGCCAGGCATGGTGGCACACACCTGTAATCCCAGCAGCTGGGGAGGCTAAGGTAGTAGGATCCTGAGTTCAGCAAAAAGGAAGACACTAAATAACTCAGTGAGACCCTGTCTCTAAATAAAATACAAAATTGGGCTGGGGATGTGGCTCAGTGGTCACGTGTCCTTGAGTTCAATCCCCCATACCAAAAAACAAAAGATCCATAGTATAGGAAAGTTTTTACACATAATTATTTTACACGTAATTATTCAGAAAATCCACAGAACACTGGTGCAAGGGCCCATCCAAAATGACCATCTCCAACAGTCTCTCACCATCCCACTTTTATCAAAGTGTTCAGCACATGGAAAGAAAGAGCCAACAAGCATGGATTCAGTCAGTACCTGAATACTTCATCAATAAACAACCACATCTGGTTTTTTTATAAAATAAATTATGTGGTCACCTGCCACTTGGGCACAAATTGAAGGCAAGTAACCAAGAAGCCAACGGTAAGATAGAGGTAAGATAGAGGGCATCTAGTTAAATAATTTAAAATGTTTATTTTTATGTGACATGTATGAGGCCAACGGGTTCACAACCATCTGAGAGAAGCTGTGTTTCATTGCCTCACACAGAAAACAGGAAATCAGTATACTAGTGAAGTGATGGAAAGGTCCCAGAGAAGAACCAATGAAAGAGAAGACCATGGAAATCACAGTGAACTTCCCAGGACTTCAATGTGCTGTTCAACAAATTTTCAAAAGTGAACAAAATGSTTATAAGAGGGCATCAAAGTGAAAGTCAAGAGTAAAGGGCCCAGCCTGGTAATTTCTCTCCTCCACAAATTTCCTCTTCCATAGCCCTGAGAGCAGATCCCAAAAGAACTTGGACATTTGTGATATTGGCAATAACACTGTCTTTCAGGATCCTAAAGAATTTTTTTCAGTACTCCTCTTTTAAAACATAAAAATCTCCAGAGGGGTTTCAATTAATTATCAATCAAGACCTTGATTCTTTAAAACCCTGCAGTCCCAGAGATTAGTCAAAGCTCTCTAATAAGATATGGGCCCAAGACAGGAACCCTATAGGACCAACCTTCCAAGTTAAAATAGGTGAAGGGAAATGAATTTTCTGTCAGGCCATTTGACCAAGTTCAAGCTGTCAAACTTCTAGGCGACTCTACAAACTGCAAACCTGCAAAAAGTCTTGGGCTAGAGGCCTTTGACCTTTGAAGGTGGGTCTTCAGTTTCTGGTGAAAAGTAGACTTTGGACACAAGTTTGTTTTCTCTCTCTCTCTCTCCCAGGAGGAAGCCCTAGCTCCTTCCACCCCTGATTGATCCTTACTTACCCTTTCTCCCGCTCTTCCTCGGTGAGAAGGGGTAAGTGGTTATTTTGTGCCCTCGCCCAATTTGGTCAGAACCCTAAAAGTAAAAAACGACAGAGACAGACACGTCCTTTAAAAATCTTTTTGCTCGAACCTGAGGAACTCCCACCACCTGCCCAACACTACCAGGCAGCCTGTCCCCACAGCGCTCCCTCATGGACAGGGTTGAGGTCAAGGGTAGGCGTGCTCTGGGGCGACCCTGCCACGGGGACCACCGGTTTCATAACCGAATAAGCCAGGAGGAGGAAAGACAGAAACCGCGGACCGCGCGGGCCTCAGATAAACATGCGCAGGCACACATGTTCTCGGTCGCCTTGCGGCCCAGCAGCTCTCCGCCTCCCAGAGCGCCCACTCCGTGGGACGCCAACCCTGGGGAAGAGTCCCAGGCCCAGGGGACCACCCAGGGTGGCCCGATCACCCACCCCCCACCCGCCGAGGGGSGCCAGCCCTCCGCACCGGCTGCTCCGCTCTACCCAGGGGAAGTCCCTGCGCGGGCCCCGCCCCCGCCGGCGGCAAGCCCCGCCCCGACCCCTAGCGCGAGGGCGGTGGCCCGAAGCTCCACCCCCGGCAGAAAAGCAGCCCTGGAGCACCGCCTGGGTCRAGCCTGAAACCTGGCCTGGATCTGCAACGGATCAGGAACAACACCCATTTGGCAAGCAATGACATGTATTAGAAGCACTTATGTAAACTCAGCACGGTACTCATGGCTTAGAGGGCAACAAAGAATGGAAAATCTAGGAAACCATCTAATCAGTTCCTCTCGTTATTTTACAGGCCTGGAAATCAATATCTTATAGTTCCTTGAATGCACAGCTATAGAGACCAAGCACTTCACTTTCTCTCTCTGCTTTCCTTTCCGGTGACTCCTTTTTATTCATGTACACACAGGAATACTATTCAGTTGTGCTGCCTCTAAGCAAAAAGAGTAATTCAGAATAGGTGAAATCACCTGTTAGAAAGTTTATACTTGAGTTTTCGCCATCAAATTTTCAAAAATACAAACTCTTAACTGGGTTCTCTGCTATAACCTACAAAGAAAGTGTAACAACTTATTTAATGGAAATAATTACTATATCATAAACTATTTTCTGCCATGCTTAATGACTTCATTCCACAAGTACTTAGGTCACAGGACCACCCTCTTCCAATGGCAGTCAGTACCTATTTATTATCTGGACTGGGTTTTTTTGGTATTGTGAACCCAAATTAAACAGGTCCTAGTCACTAGGACCTGACAGTCTGTGATGGAATGTACAACAGATAAACAAGCGAAGACAGGTGGATGTGGCTTTTATTATAGTGGAATGTGAATAAACATACAAAATGTTGCAAAGTTGATCTAACTTTGTCACTAAAATTCATCAGATGTGATTAAGAAGCAGTAGCAGAGGCCCTGATTGTGGCTCAGAGGTAGAATGCTAGCCTATCATGTGTGAGTCACTGGGTTCAATCCTCAGCAGCACATAAAAATAAATAAGATAAAGGTATTGTGTCCAACTACAATTAAAATTAAAAAGAAGTAGGAGGAGGAGGAGGAGGAGGAGGAGGAGGAGGAGGAGGGGCAGTTTAAAAACCTGTATGATACTAACTATAAGACATCCTAGAAATGGAAAAACTGTAAAGACAATGAAAAGATCAGGGATGTGGGGAAGGAAGGGATGAACAGGAAGAACACAGGATTTTTAGGTCAGTAAAACTATTCTGTAACATACCATAATGACGATGCCTGTTATTATACATTTGTCAGAACCCACAGAATGTACAGCATGAAGATGAACCTTGATGTAAACCCCGAAGTTTAATAATGATGTTTCAGTGTAGGTTATCAATCACAAAAAGTATACTTCTCTGGTGCAGGAAGTTGATAGGGAGGCTGATCATGCCTGGTATCCAGGTATATATGGGAAATCTGTCCTTCCTGCTCCATTTTGCTCTGAAACTAAAACTACTCTTAAAAAAAAAAAAAAAAAAAAAGTTAAAGGAATTGAAGACAAGGGGCTGAGGCTGTGGCTCAGTGGAAGAGTGCTTGCCTAGCATGTGTGAGGCACTGGGTTCTATTCTCAGCACCACATATAAATAAATGAATAAAATAAAGGTCCAGACATCTAATATATATATATTAAATATATATAGACATCTAATATATATATATATATATATATATAATATATATATATATATATATTAAAAGGAACTGAAGACAAGACTGTGAATATCCCATTTAGTTTAACTTATTCCAAGCTAAAACTCAAATTTGACAATTCATATCAACCATCACATTTCTGAAAGTTTTTCAAAGTTTTTACTATACCAGCATCAAGGAAACTTATATTCTTATTTGAACTGATATGAAAACATTTGAAATTTAATTTATATCCTTCATCAGGAACTTTTTGAGAAACTTTGAATATGAGTTATACCATCTGGAAAAATAAAACTTCGGTAAATAGTTATTAATCCCAGCTTTAGGTATGCTTACAATGAATAGTATATAGCTCCTTTTATATAAATAACATAAATGTGAGCCTAAAATAAAAATAAAASAAGCAATTATGGTTTCAAAATATATAAATATAGGGCTGGGGTTGTGGCTCAGCGGTGGAGTGCTCACCTAGCATGTGTGAGGTCCTAGGTTCAATCCTCAGCACCACATAAAAATAAATAAATAAAATTATTTTTTWAAAAAACATAAATATAGGGCATAAAGGTTTTTTTGGAAAAAATATAGCTTTACAATATAGCTTTCATTTTTAGTACAAAAAAAAACAGTCTTCCAGTTTGGGATTTTTAAGCATATTTCCAATTAATAAAAACCAGGGCTGTAGAATTTCAGGTCTGGACTATGGGATGGGCTTGGGATATCTTGCGCCACAAAACAAGTAATCCAAACAACAAATAAGATGTTAAAGGGACACAGAAACCAACATTAAGGGGCTCCTTTGGCCAAAGGTGGGACAAATTTAAGCATCAAAAAAAGTAATGTATGCAACTGTTTTAAAAATAATATATAAAAATCCATGATATCTTAATGACACTCCAAAGGAGAGGCAAAAAAAAAAAAAAGAGGAAAAAAGAAAGAAAATCATTGGACACTATTACAAGTAACTAACACAAACTTCTTATTCTAAAATTGTCAGTTGAAAGAAAATTATTAAAACTTATATTGCCTTTTCTGATTAAACAATACTTCTGGAAATTAAATAGTTGTTGAGGGAAAATTTATTATTATTATTATTATTATTATTATTATTATTATTATTATTATTAAAGAAACAGTAGAATTGGAAAACCTCCATTTAACAATCCCACATGTAAAAAACTGATTTAAGAAATAATCATCAATGGATGAAACCATTAGGTTACTGGTTGATGAGAAACTTAACAATGGAAATCAAATTGTCACCACCTGAGCCTAATCAAATATTGCTACAAGTACGACACCAGAAAATGTGTTTCCTGGTCTAATGTCATCTGAAGAGCTCCATATACTATGATGTGTTCTTGCCAGAAAAACAAAAAGGAAAACAAAAATGGAATCTAATCAACACTTATAACTGACTTCATTGCCTCTCAGAGACTTTCAAGAAACATGAGACTTAGAAGAAGAACTTAAATAACACCACAGAGACGTTAATGAAGAAATTTAGAATGTGAACACTCTATAAGATTACTGACACAGTTTTCTCTGTGCAACTAGTTGATAACAGGGGTGAAAAAAAAAAAAAAAAAGGAAAGGGGTCAGAGAAGCTTCTGACCTGAGCATGATTCAAACATCAGAATTACAAAAAAGACCTATGACAACCATGGATGTGTGACTATGAACCAATATTAGACAATACCAAGGAAATATTGCTATTTCATCCAAATAATTTTATTGTACTTATGTAAAAATGTCTATAATTTTTAAAAGACATTCTGAAGTATATTGAAGTTAAATGACATACTCTGATATGTGCTTAAAATACTTCAAGAAAAATTAAAAAAGAGAGAAGAAAGATAAAACTATTGATGACAAAAAAAAAGATGCGTTGAATGTAGAGGATGCAGGGGTTCTTTTTACTTTTCTTTCTCTGTATGTTTGAAATTTTTCATAATGAATGTTTAAATATAAACTTATAACTTAAAGATTTTTTAATAAATAAATAAATAAAAATTAATGACTGCTTTAGCCAAGATTTCCTAGAAAACACAACTGAAACTTACAAATACTAACATTTTATTGGAGGGCAGGGCATATGCAAACCTAGAAAAGCAATAAGAGGAGAGAAGGGACAGAGGAAGGAGATACRCAGTGATGTTTGTTTATAAGCTGGTTATAGCCTCACAGTTTACACCCTTGCTTGCTCAGTCACATGGATTGTCTCAAGAGGGCTGTATGATCCACTGTATAACAGTCATAGTCAGGAGGGCAAAGGGCAAGCATTTATTTGCTGGATTGCTTCTGCCTCCTTTCTATCTCTTCTATGAAAGAAATAAAGCACTTGAAGAAGAAGACTAGGGGGAGTGGCAGTGAAATGAAAATGAAGGCAAATAACTGTCTCATGATGTGACTGAGATTTATTTATTCTCACTATTTAGGTGACTCTCCAGTTTAGTAAAGACAACTTTTAATTTAACTTCTTGACTGGAATAATCATTCTGCTTAAGCTTTTTATCTCAAAAATAATTTATTCACAAATGTTATACATTGTATCCATGTAACACTGTACACCATAAACATTTACAATTAATGTGTCAATTAAAATATAGCAAAGTAAATAAAGAAATAATTTATTTAGGCGGTCTTTTTAAAAGTTATTTATTCTAATTTGTTATACATGACAGCAGAATGAATTTCAGCTCATAGTATACAAACAGCACAATTTTTCATATCTCTGGTTATACACAGAGTCACATCATTCATGTCTTTATACATGTAATAATGTCCATCTCATTCCACCATCTTTCCTTCCCCATACCCCATCCCTTTCCCTTGTACCCTTTTGCTCAGTCACATGGGTTGTCTCAAGAAGTCTTCCCTTCCTCCTGTGTTCCTCCCAACCCGGATTATGGATCAGCATCCACTTATCAGAGAGAACAAACATCCAGCCTTTGGTTTTATGGGATTTGGCTTACTTCACTTAGCATAATATTCTCCAGCTCCATCCATTTACCTGCAAATGCCATGATTTTATTCTCTTTTAATGCTGAGTAATATTTCATTGTGTGTATATACCAGTTTCTTTATCCATTCATCTATTGAAGGACATCTAGTTTGGTTCCACAATTTACCTATTGTGAACTGTGCTACCATAAACACTGATGTATCTGTGTCCCTGTAGTATGCTGACTTTAAGTCCTTTGGGTATAAACAGAGGAGTGGGATAGCTGGGTCAAATGGTTGTTCCATTCCCAGTTTTCTAAGGAATCTCCATGCTGCTTTCCAGATTTGTTGTACCAATTTGCAGTCCCACCAGCAATGTAAGAGTGTGCCCCTCCCCCCCCACCTCCTTGCCAACATTTATTGTTGCTTTTAT